TAAAATGTGTTGGAAATACAGCAGGTACGTACAAATCATTAATCTAACATTTAGGCATTGGGGAAAGTATCACGACATGTAAACGAATGCAGGTTGTCAACTGGAGTATCAGGTATTGCGTTTTTATTAAAACATCAATAGATTCACTCAAAACGTTATAAATGATATTACTATAGTATTTTACTTATTTGTAATATAGTTTTAACAGTAATAAACATTGTTTGCACGCTCTATTCTGCAGCTTGTAAACATAACCTAAAAACTTTACGATGTTTAGATGTTCATTTTTCTTTAATATTATTCGGAAATAAAATACAGTAGATAATTTCTCGTGTAACTGATCCTTTTATTCAATGCATGTGCGTTATTCGAAGTTGACGTGAGCAATAAATATTATTGTATTTACGTTTTATGCATATTTTTAACATACATTCTTCTTGAATTCGTATGGACAACAGTACCTATGTAACCCTATTGATTTTCCTCTTATAAACACTTATAACAGCATTATATTATATTATAAATTTAATTGAATTTGTTCTAAATCAAAAATGAGTAAGTGAAAACAGTTTCAAAACATAAAAGTATAAATTTAAAGTCAAAGCAACAAAAATCTCAATTAATATACATTGAATCATGCTCTGCAAAGAATGAACAGCCTAACACTTACACTGAAATGTAAGTCAATAAGTATATCTTGTATCCCTTCAATCAGACAAATTTACCGAACATGAAAATGTTCAGTAAATTTAATAATAAATTTTTTACCATCTGTGACAAACTATAAATAGCCATATCAAAAAAAAAAAAAAAATTGTTGAAATATTTGAATATAATAACTGTATTGAGCTATGAAAGTATCTATCTGTATTGAACTTATCCTTGTATCATATGGGGCTCATAAATAACCTGTGAGAAACAGGCATTTAATTATTTGGTACTAATCCATTGAATAGTTGCCGATATGATGTACTCATGATTCTCATATCAAAAATGGTAAATTTCTTTTTCAAATTAATCTAATTTTGCATTTAAGCATGCAAATATTGTGGTTGATAATACAAATGAGTCTTAAATTGCTATATTCAAATAAACATCATGCATGCTATTTTTGCAGAGAGAAATAATGTGAAAAGATATTTTATTACGATGATTCTTAATTTAAATAGTACTATTTCCTTTTCGATCATGGTAATTAGAGATACAATTGAAGAATAATAGGTGATCAAAACTGGCATTTGCTTATGGTTTGATGAATTAAAATACATATAAAAACAATGATATTTAAAAGTAGGTGCAAACTAGTGAGGAACTAGGTAGCGGAAACATAGATTAAGCTACCAATGCTAAGGCCTTGAAAGACAGAAACTGACAATGTGCGTATATCAGTCGCTTTCTTAAACAATGTCTTTTATAATTGTATTAGGTAATAAAACTATGCAAAATTAAATTAATATTCAATCCATTTAAACTGTGTTGAAAGTGTAAAATATACCTGCTTGATCAGTTATACTTCAATACTAGAATCATCTCACGACAACAGTCTTACTCAATGGTCATGCTTGTTATAGATCTTCCCCCGCTGTATGAGAAATCATAAGTAACATAACCAAGTAACTTCTCTCGGATTTAATCCAAATATTAATATTTTTAGCTAACTTGGAGTCTTGGTCTGTCTTCTATGCTATGGCATGTATCTTATATGTTAAACTTTAATACATGGAGTGTGTACCACTATATGTGGCTAAAAGTGGGTATAACACGTACATGTGGGTGCATCCTTTTAGTGAAATATTAATTTATTTATAATGCCTCATACATAATAATCTTATAAATAAGGAAAAGATGGGATGATGGTTGTAAGTATGATTGATGATATTATGCTTCTGTGTTTATGTCTTCCTTGAACAATCATCATTTTTTCTTGACTATATTAACCATGACTTATAAATCATGCCAGTTCCAGTGAGTATTGTTGTTTAACAATTGCTTTTATCATTTCTTACTTGTGTTTCAGTAATATGTGCTTTCAATATATGAATATCATTATTTCTATTAATATTGCAAACTTTTAAATATTAAAATGTGTTTTCAGTTTTATATCACTAGATAGTATAAAACAAAGACACTTTCTCTGTCCCTATATCCTATGTGATGCTTAAATCTTTAAAACTGACAAACAGTTTGTTGTTTTTTTGTACATAGTGTGTCCAATAACATTCATTAAATAGTGAAGAAAAATAGTGTCCGCATTGCATTACACATAAGTGAAGACGGTGTGGGTTGTTAGTTATTTATTAAAATAAAAATTATCTCAAAAATTTGCTCATCTGCCCTTTACAATAAGTAGTACCTATGTATGCTTTTACTTCAACTTTCAGGTCATCTTGCTAATATTATACAAAATGTGTGCCTATGATCCTATTTTTAAATATTTTTTTGCACACAGCATCTATGCTTTTATTATTTGCAATCAACATAAATGTATGAAATTAAAATAATTAGATTGTAAAAGAGAGAAAAGTAGTTGACTTAAAGGTTGTACTGTATAGAACTGTTGCTGTTTGTTTTAATTAATCCAAGTTTATTTTTATTAATGATCATTTGATCATTGTGACTTTTATGTTTAAGCCTAACTCAAATGAATAAAAATTCACTTTCAGATTCTGCTTTTTTCTCATTTTTTAGGTACCTATTATACTGGTTTACTAATTAATTGATCAATTGTGGTGTTCATTATCCTATATTTTAAAATAATAAATGCCTAACATAATTATTGTAAAACCTCATTAACCAGTTTTGACGCATAATAGCTCTGAATAGTATATTTGTTGTTGTAATGTATGCAATTAAAGTGCATTCTACCCTAGCTAGGCACTGATTAAACCAGTGTATCCAGATCCAGAAAAAAGATCAAAGGGAGATGAAATGTATTTTCTATTTTCTCACATAGTAGACGTCTATATGTTAAGCTATATAAGCTATATACCACGGTGGAGCATATGGTGGCGGTGTGCCCTGCTTGGGCTGAGCACCGCCGTATCCTTAGGGAAGGGATCGCGGCGGCGACCTCTTTGATCCCGGCCTTAGTCGAGGCCATTGTGCGGAGCGAGAGGAACTGGGAAGTAGTCTCCTCTTCTTGCGAAGCAGTTATACTCTCAAAGAAGGAGGCGGTGTGCGTGAGGGAGCTATCCTCCTCATCCTTACGCCCCAGTCGCCGCAGTAGGCAACACTCCGGGCGTCTGGGATCGAAAGACGATCTCTGACCACCGTAAGCGCGGGTCTGTGGACGGCGAGAAAGGGTAGCTCGTCGTCTGACCAAAACAAGACCTAAGCATACGGCGCGCTGCATTCCGCTCGCGCCTCAAAGAGCCAATAGACCATAGATGGAGCCATACCTGATGTTCAGCCGGGGTTGCGGGGTAAGCGCAAGGAGGCACCGCGACCTCGGCTTAGAGCAGGAGAAGGCAGGGAAGGCTTTTTAGTCAGTAAGAGTCTGACACTTCCTCATCCTGGGCGGGGGAAGTCATTTGATGATTTACCCTCACAAAAAAAAAGCTATATGTAACCTTGTAGAATTTTAGATATTAATTATTATCATTTTAACCCAATCTCACAGTAACAAAATCTTTAAAAAGTCATTTGATGATTATCCCCTCACAGAAAAGGGGTAAAATATTTACTTAAAGAACCTGAATCATTCTGATTGTTTTACATCTACTTTTTCTTTATTTAAAAATAAGGTAAATAGGTGCACCGTATGCTGAGCGTCATTTGTTACTCGTTACATCCTTCTGGCCATCACTGTCAGTTACTGTACTTTCGGTGTCTAAATATTGTTCAGTATTTGAACTTTTGGCCAATTCATGATACACTTGCCCATGTGATCATTAAATAACGATTTTATTTTTTTCTGAAAAAATTTGCTCTCATAGATTTATGGATATTTATTTTAATGATACACAGTTACTTTATGCAACATTGATAACCTTTTATTCAATAAATAAAATAAAAAGAAATCATCATGTTTTATTACCCTCCATCTATATTTAAATATTACTATTAATATTTGATGTATTTGCAATTATACTAATAAATCAATTTCTTTCAGTGATGGGCGCGTTAAACAGCAACGTAAAGAGTGATCTACATTTTATTCAGACGAAAAGTGGTCATTTGCAGTTGATCTATGAACCGTACATATTTGTGACTGATAGTGTTCGTAGTGGCCGGACTTTTTGGAGGTGTATGGATTATGGCAAACGCTGTCGAGCCAGAATAACATCTAAAAACAATATTTTGAGAATAACTAACCCTGTGCATAATCATGTTGAGAATCACATGTCAAAAATATCGCGAAAGTATGAATTAGGCGAAGTAGTTACCTGCCCTACCGTGTAAGCAATTAAAAAACTGTTTTGTAATACAAGCAATAAATTAAATGTGTCATTTTGTGTGTGCGTTAGTACCGTATTAGGCCTAATTTAAATTGTAATGCCATACTTCAAGTCTTTTGTTTGTTTACCTATAGTTTCAACCTTACTGACGTTAAACGTAATTCCGTTTGCAATCAATGGTCGTACTTATTATAGATACATTGGTAATATGTGTACGAGTATATTTTTCTTCATTATTTTTTAATTACGTGAACTGTGCGCACATTACGTACAGTTTCTTAGCTGTAATGCGTATCTGCCTATTTGTAAATGTAGTTACATTTTGAATGCATGATGGATGTGATTATAGGATAGATGATTCATGGATTTCTGGAATTCATGTAGTATTGTAAACGATTATCAATTTTCTAGTTTTTTCTGAACATTGTGATCAAATAATAAGATTCTGATAAGATTTCAATAAATAAATGAAAATAAATCATGGTTTCTTTTAAGTTCAAACAATCATAGCTATTGTTATTGGTGAGCAGTTTATAGGAATGTGCACTAAAAGCAGATTGACTTTAGAGTTTTTTGGTTGTGGATTAATACTGAATGGAACAGGAACTGGCGAGGCACAGGTATGTTACACTGTGACGCGCCGAGGGGCACCTTCCCTACTGGTCGACGGCTTCGGATTTGTAGCACGCAAACGTCGTGGTCCTCGCGTCTACTGGACCTGCCGGAGCCGCGCGCAAGGTTGCCCCGCCAGGGCTCTCACCACGGACGGCAGGCTCGTAGCACGGGCAGGCAGCCACACGCACGAGCGTCATGCGCCTGCCATCGACGAACATGCACGCATCGAAAGTCTCATCGAAACTATTGCAGCAAATAATTAACCTTGCCTATGTTGCCTTCAAAATATATATTAATTAATTATATCATTCTTGTTTTCATTTACATGCGCATGCTTACCTACATATTTTCTTATTTTTTTTTGTGATGCAAAACTGATCTAAACGCAAGCATACATTTGTGTTATTGCAGTTTAAATAATTAATTAGATATAAAAATCTGACTATCCACTATCAGATGTCTATCTAATTTAAAGAAAAATTGTGAGATGATTTTGGTACAGCGTCTAAACCACGATTATTGTAGATTATAAGCTTCATACCTATTAAGTTATTTTTACTGGTTACTAGTTATCTTTCGCTTAAAATTTCTCCAAGAACTGTAATAAATGTGGTGTATAAAGCAGCTGTGGTGGACAGCCAGTCGAATCTTTATGATATTGAAATAACGAGATAAGTTTGCATTTTAACGTGCATGGATATAACGACACTGCTGAATTACAGGAATTACAGCTGATAATCATATTGGTGATATTTTGCAGTTGAATTCGTGATTTCGAACCGCGGCAGACGACATATGCGGCTCGATGGTTTCTCCTTTTACGCGGAAAAAGTGTTTCCGGAGAAGAATAAGGTGCGATGGCGCTGTACGCGGCGGACCTGTCGTGCGTACGCACATACGCTGCACGACAGGATCTTCGCCCTCAGCAACGTACATTCGCACGAACCTCCTACGGGGGTCCAAGGAGATCGGGAAAGAAACTCGAATCGCGGTTTTACTAATGCAAACTTCGCTGCTCAAGCAAAGGCTGTTCTTGATGAGTGAAATATATATGTATCTTCCACTAATCTCCTAGTTAGCACTTAACTAAATTGTAGCTATACACATTATGGTGTCCAACCATTGGTTCTCGTCGAATCTTAATAATGCAAGTGCTCCTCTTAAAATAATATGTTATTGAGTGTACTCCCTTACTCATTGTATCATTAACAATTATCCAAGTGTCATGTTGGGGGTAAAACAGAGAGCAAGAAGGCGGGTGTTCGTGGACTGATAGTAAATAAGAAATTAGCTTGTATTTGGTTCTAGCAATGTGCACAAAAAGGCCATTGTATATTTAGCCTGTGTAAGTAGAAATCCATCTAGTCATGAAATATTACCTAATGTTGATCTCATTGTGTATATGTAACTATTATTTATTGTAATTTAATTGATATTAAGTAAAATTAAAATATTATGTTAATGTACAATTTATCTCAAATTACTTTAAATCTAACGAAATTGTGTGAGTTAGCAATAAATCTCTTGGCGTAATAATTAAGCAATAAATAACCTATGCCTAGGGTTAATGAATGGTTTTGCGTTGGAGCTTAGCTACAATAGATGTTGGGTTCAACTAATTATACGTACGTCTAGAGCTACATTATTTTTATATTTGTCCAATCCATAATTGTTATTGTTTGTGCTTAACAAATTACAAAATATACCATTTTCACATTTTTCAATGTTAATATTTTTGTGCGAGTTTGCGAGGTTTCTAACATTGGGCTTGCTGCATGTTGCTGACGATAGCTTGTATAATGATTCAGACGTTTGATTGAACATTGTGTGGTTGTTTGATAGAGGACAACAAGTTCGTGCGCCTGTGCGTGGGCCCGGGCGGGCGGCCGCGGCTGTGGGTGCGCGGCCGCAGCTTTTACGCGGCGCACACGATGCGCTCGGGCGTAGTGCGCTGGCGCTGCACTATGGGCGGCTGTGGTTGCAAAGCTTATACACAAAAGGGCACGCTGCACAAGCTGGTCGGAGAGCACAACCACGCCGGCCGGTGCGGCCGACGGCTCCCCAACATAAATCCTACGCAAATCACTACTACTGTCTCAATTCCAATTTCAGGTTCCTCGTCCTCCTCGCCTCCCACTCCCTTACTAGTACCTCGTCTCCAGAATTTTGACCCGAATGCGTGGGTAGTACGTTATTAGTATGATATTAACTTGGTGTAGAATCGCTGCTAGCCTCATATGAAAAAGTAGCTGACGGTTTTGAATGATTCAACTCGTAGAACTCATTGTTCGTTTTCATCAACGATTCTGAACGTAATTTTTTTTTAATCTTTTATAATAAAGTAGGAAAGACTCGGATAGATTTGATGGGTAGTGTGTTGTATGTAAGTGACTTTTTCTTTTGAGTTGGAATTTGCAATAGGTGTAGTTTGTAGATGTTTTAATTGCCAAAAATTGTGATAATAAGCTCATGTGACGACTTAGTTATACATTGATCTCAGTTTTTTATTAGGGTAGGATTAATTAATGTTGAAATTTACAATTGTGTGTAGGATGTTGTCTAAACTTAAATAGTATACTATTATTTACTGTTCTTTTAAAATATTCAATTACCTCATAGAAAATATAAGTACTTACTAGTGAGCATAGTGTTAAAATAAGTCTTCCTATTTTAAGTTTTCAATGTTGTTAGTTTGAAACGGCTTAATTTTTACAAACTTGCTCATCGTCTACTTATGCCAAAGGTCTGTGCCAAATTTTCTTGCTCATGAAATTATCGGTTCTCAAAGAGAAAAATATAAGGAATGCCTCTAAGTCACGTTCGAAACTCTATGGAAAAACTTTTATAAATATTGTTATAGGTAATCAAGATCTCTGTAATAGATAATGTGTTGTATGTGTAAATGTGCTAAATAAATCTATGAACACAAACTGATTTTTAATTTATATCATTGATTAAATTATATACCTAAATGATTGTCGTTTTATTTCAATTGTTTAAAGAGAGTTTTTGCTAGTCTAATCGTGGGTAACGTAAACTATATAAGTATGCATGCTTAGTTTTAAAACGTTAGGTTTTCCAAGTCAAAGGTTATAAATATCAGAAATGGATAGACATACCTTTAACGTGGAAACCCGACAATAGATAAGTTTTAATAAATTTCTCAAAACCACAAACTAACAGTAGTGTATTTTTTAGCGCGCTTCATCCGTGCCGGCAAAGGGCGTCTCCTGCTTCATCGTGGTTACACTTTCCGTTTGAAGAATAACTTGGCCCACGGAAGAAAGCAATGGTACTGTTCCTCGCGACTCACATCTCGCTGCCTAGCCGATGTAAACACGGAGGGCCCGGAAGGTCATGAGCGCATCGTGCGCTCTCGCTACGCGCACAACCACGCCCCGCCCAACGTGCGGCGGTTCGCGGACGGGCGCTACGTGGTGCGCACGCCGCACCAGTCGGGGCACCGCGCGCCCGCGCCGCTCGACCCGCACCACCAGCTGCTGCAGCTGCAGCATGCGCTGGCGCTGTACGCCGCCACGGCCCACGCCACGGCCACGGCCAACGCTTCGGCCGCCGTCACCGCCGCTCCTGGTGGTCCGCCCGCTCAGACCTCGCCCAACGCGCTGCCGCCCTCGGCACAGCACACCAACTCCGCGAAACCGCTCCTCGTTGACACCCCATGCAAGGAGGAGGATTAAATTCTGTAACAAACATCGATCGATTTTAATACGAGTTCACGACTAATTTATAAGCGATTTTGACAATGGTAATCGAGTATTCGATATTTTCTAACCGCCTTTTGGCGAATGTAGCATAATGGATGTAGATTTAAATATGATTAGTTAAGTATGAGGGGATAAGGTGTCGTTTACTTAGGATTCAGCGAAGGCTATTGTTGGTTATTCAGTATCGGTTATGTGAATGTATGTCAGCATATAAGTAGGTGTTGTGGTGTATTGGATGTTACGACGACCAGTGACGGGAACACAGCAGACGACCAGTAATACGAGTGAACACGTCCGTCGTGTCGTAATAGGTTAGACGGTCTCGTCGAGATCTATAAACTTATCCGTATAGGTGTGGGCTATTTATCGAATCGAATAGAGCTAGTAAGGATGTTATATATGTAAGAACTTCTGAATGTATAACGGTGTCAGCTCGTATTGATGTCAGGTTTAGACGCTTTAGCGTTTGATTGATTTAATGTTTACGACCCGTGCAGTATGCAGTATCATCCAGTAGCGCTAGGCGGACATTGCGCGATATCCACAGCTGGTCATGTCAGGCAGGGCAGGTTGGTGCGCCATGCGAACGCAGCCGAGTCAGCTGTCGACACGAGTGCAAGGTAAGGTCGGCGGCCACGCCGTGGTCGCTGGCAACGCGTCGGTGACTGATTTAGAGAAAACTCGTTCGAAATTAAGCAATATGACGTCCCCTGGACTGTACTTAGAATTACTTAATTTATTTTGAGAATTATAAAATTTACACTTTTCAGATACTTATTGCTACTTAGACATTTAGATGTCCGCCTCCTTAATCTTTAAGAATTTACAGTAGATATTCGAAAGGCATTTGTCTTGGATCGAGCAAGCTGCGTTTTGCTCTTTAGGATTGATTTAAAAAGTACTTAAGCTCAATCATCTACCTCTTCACTTTTATACGGGTTTTACATATTAGTTTAAATTTTAAATTATACAATTTTATACAAGAATGAATACTCAGAAGCTTTACTCGAGTAAGGTGTCGTAGCGTAAGCCTTAGGTTAGCATTAGCGTAGGAACTGGCGCGCCGGGGCGGCTCGCCGCGCAGGGTCCGGGGCGCCGCACTACCTCTAGTTATATCGAAACTCAACTACCTCTTTACTTAGTTTACACGTTCGTTCACTGTTAACGACTTTAAATTAATTAAAATTTAATAAGCTCTTTTTGAGACTTGTCTGAATATATTTTATTATTGTTTTGTAACTCATTTGTTGCTCGTCGAAAGATAACTTATTCAAGAACGAAGGCGATGAGAATGATGAGCCGCTTTGTATGTATGACTCTGATTTAAGTACAAATTTTTACTAATTTTAATTGTTATTTAGATGACTTAGTTCTACGGGGTCTAATGTGTGTGAATTTAATATTGTCAACTTTTTATAAGTGTTATTATAGACCGTGGCAAACTTTGAACACTGCATAGTACTATACCGGTGTTGCAGTCCTGCGGGTGAGGCTGCAGTCTGTGAGGACGCTCGCAACCTCATCGTCCACTGTCCAGTGTTGATCGTTTGGCACGCTCTATCGTACCTGATTACTGTCACTAAGCCAAATACTGTGGGCGATATACGTTTTTATGAAACCGTGGCGATAGTTAGTAGGTAAGTGTAATTATTACATGTAATAATTGTAAGTTTAATATGTATAATATATTTTAGAGCAATGACAATATACGTCAATTATATAAGATACGAGTTATGAGTTTTTATGTATAATGGGAGACGAGCACACCATCGTTTGCTGTAAATATTGTTTCTTTATTCACGCAATATTTAGCTCGCGTTCATGGCTCTCCTCAACTTTTGCAACGTTTTTCGATGTTTGTATGTTTCGACTATGGAGTCACGTGCTGTTTCTATGTTTGCTCATGTTGTTAATATTATGAATCTCGTAGGTAGTGCATGATAACCGTGTGTTGTTTGTTGAGCCTACCGCCACGGCTTCGTCTTGTACCGCACATCGAACGCTCCTATTTTAATCTATCTACCTCAAAAACTCCTAAAGTGTTACTACTCATATACAAGTCTTATATAATTAAAATAATTAGTGTAATTTTATACTTATACCATTATATCATAGGATTTTTAGTTCATGTACGGGGTATGTTTTTTGTGAAATCATATTAAATTGTACTTATAAATAACCGCTGGTTTTATTTCGCTACACCCCTGATTCACCTGGGTATACGTTCTGGTTGTCGGTTTGGGGTCTCTGTATTTCGGTCTACTTCAGTTCTCTGACGTGTGCTTCTCCCACAGGTATTAAGTTTCTCAAGTCGCGGCGCGGCAAAGTGATCATGATGGTGAACACGTTCCCTTTCTGTGAGGAGTCCAAGTTGAGGGACAAGGTGATATGGCGGTGTACTTCCAAGAAGACAAATTGCAAAGCGAGGATACATATGTTGGGCACCAGCGTGGTCGCAGTGAAGGGCATGCATAACCACCCGCCGCGCGCTCTCTGCCTGCCCCCACGGCGACCTAACGCGCGCAAGGGACTCGAGGCGAGTCCCACTCCGGTTTCTCTAACTGCCCCAGTCACGACACTCGATGCTCTTGCGCTGCAGTCGTCTGAAATAGAATGAACACTCTGTAGAAGTCATTGCGTATGAAACAGCATTACTTTTCTTTACTCGTACTGAATGAAGTGTATTTAATTTACGTATATCCAAGCAATTTAGACAATAATATTATATATAAATAAGCATATAGGTGTTAGGATAGCAGTTAAGATTGTGTGGTATTGTCCTGGACGGTCAATTACCACGTCGATTCCATTCCATGAATAACATTGTACTGCCGCCTTTATCGCTTTCTCTGGTGCTTTGGTAAGTAAAAAAGTGTTCCATAGGTTTAAAATGTGTTGTATTCTAATGAACTGAACTGTAGTACTCTACTTCCTTGTTAATGTTTTATCGGAATGTATAGATATTTAGTTATGCACTATCGTTTTAATTGATACGTTTTAATGCTCGTCGAGCTGTAAAAAGGCGATCACGCAATCGAGTGATGCTTCCATCGGCACTGGTGTAATCGTTGTCTACCAACGTTTCAAGACGCTCTGTACCTACCTGACATGCACTAACAATGCCGAATTGTGATAACATTCGATCATTACTATACAAATTTTAATATTAAATATTTAATGTACTTATGTCAAGATGTAAAACTCAAGTATTTATTACTCGTTGATATTTGGCGTGTGTTATATCCTAAATTGTAAGAAAAAGTGCCTTGTGTATAACAATGGGACATATATTGTCAATTAAAATAATTGATGTACTGAACATTCCCTATTGAAAATTTTAGCTGTGCTCTTTGTAGTTATATTATACATTATACAGTAATTTTGATATTATCTTTATAAATATCGATTTGAAAGACATCGTTACTTTTATCGAGAGTATTACTCCTAAGATTTAGATCATTAAAGTTTATATTTGAATATAATTTTGTTTGTTTTTATAAACCCTGCTGGAAGTATGTAGGTATTTTCCAATAACCACAGAATTGATCATTTAATGCCTTTTGTTCCCCCTGTTTTGAAGTTGCTTGTGTATCAGTAACAAAGTCGCATGTTGTTTAATAAACCCCTTCATCAGGTCGCAAGTCGGAGATGTCGCAGTTCAAATTTGGGAGTTCATCTCGACGGCAAGGCCCAGTCATATCTACTGGCCAATTCACTTTCGTCAAGGATAGGGACTTCCCAAATGGCAAGACTAGATGGAAGTGCTCTCATTCCAGTGGGAAGTGCCCGGCAAACATTTATACCATAGATACCGATGTAGTGTTATTCTATGATAAGCATGATCATGAATGATGTGTTTTAACGCAATATTTTGTGTTACAAAGTGCTTGCTGTATTGCATCGAAATGGGTCAACGATTAATGACATCTTAACTTTCTGTGCTAAGCTTCCTCAGATTTTGGAATAAAATAAATCATGGTTTGTCATTAGGTTGCAATCGTATTTTAAATACGTAATCATTCACCACCATTTGTATTTTCATGAAGTTATTTACAAAATTCCTTTGTTTTATTTTTAAAAGTTGTAAGTACCTACTTTTTCATAATCTCTACACTTACCTAGTTAGGTATTAATAAAAAAATTTCACACTATTTGTAGTACTTAACTGGAATAAAATTCTGAATAGTTCGGGCATCACGTCATTTTATGGATTTCTTCTGTAAATAATTCTGAGAGAAGATTTCTAGTACTTTTATTTGATACCTACCTGTGGTTTTTGTAGGCAAGTTAACCGCCGCGTACATACCGACTGGCAGGGGTAAAAAGAACTTGGTCCTCGATGGGTTTTCATTTACTGAGTCGCCTGCAGGCTACTGGGTGTGTTCACGTAGGAAGAATGTTAATTGTAGAGCATCAGCGCGCACCAATAAGCGTGGGGAAGTTATCCGATACGACAATACACATAACCACGAAAAGCCAAAATTTTACAGTAAGACTACGAAGAAAATGATTACTCTTTGAATATTTCAGTTTTATATTAATATTGTCATTGTTAAAAAATATGTCCTTTTATGTTTGATTTTATGATACGTATTAACGTGTTAGAATATATATGTATATATTCGTATCTATATATTTTATTTTGATCAATAAAAAGTTGAAATTATTTTTCTTATCTTACTTTGATGGTTTTATTATTTTATGTTATCTATTTAAGAAGGTTTGAAAATGTAGTATTTAGTATTTCAGTCTAATCACAGAGTTAACACTATATTGACTTTTACAGAGGCATTCTTCTTACCGTCCAGAGCTGGAAAAATGGTTCTGATATTCCGGAACAATAAGTTTTGGGTGAACAATCAGTATCGAGATAAGTTGAACTGGGCATGCCGTGATAAAGACTCCAAGGGTTGCCTCTGTAGAGTCCAGACTACAATGGACGGCCGATTCGTGCGCGTCAAGGGTCATCATACACACAAACCAAATTTTACTCCTGATAATTTCAATGCGTCTGGTCTAATCCAAAGTAAAGGAAAAGAATGCAATGACTCTCTAATAAGCAAGATTAGGCAAGACGAGAATACTGTCGAATGAAACTGCGCAAACTATAAATCTGTGTAATATCTTTAGTTAAGTAGAAAAAGTATTCCAAATAATTTGGCAAGCGCCGTAAAACCCAAAATGTCGTGTAGGGCATTGGAACACGGGGGTATGCTGCATGCAGACAATGTTCTGGTCCCATATTGACCACCCTTGTGGCTTCAGTGGCTGTGATTAATCATGACGTAGTAGAAATTCGTGATATTTACAATTTTTATGATATGTATTCCTTTATAAATAAGAGTGTGGTTAGATAACACAATAATTAATCAAGACATTTTAGTATCGAATTTATTGCTGTCTTTGACTGATCTGACGTGCTTGTAAATGTTTATTATTATACACAGTAAATCTTAACACTCCAAAATTAATTTCAAATAGCTTTCGTTCTTCACACATACTCATACGCGTTTAATTAATTAAACGAGACGTTTTACAAATTTAGGCATAGATTTTTAGATATGACGATATTGAAGAATTTGATAAAAATCACGAGCTGATTGAATACAGGTGTTTCCTTTCAAACTAGTTTTCTGAAAACTGTCAGTAATATAACTGTCAATCATTTAAACTTTTCTTTGATTACTAAATGAGGAGTCTGAATCTCTCGTTATTGTATTCTGAATTATGTATGTCTTTACTATGTACATAAATATGTAGAATTTATAATTTATGTGCTGTATGACTTTATTTTTCACTTCGGTCAAGCGACAGTTAATTAATCACGTTTCCCTGTTGTAGTGTAGGTTCCACACCAACACCCGTGCGTTTAATTTGTCGTAATCATCTTGTGTTACACGCCTCTCTACGTACTGCGTTGTAAAACGTGGACCTACCTACTCTATGGAATTGCCGACAGTTTTCCTCATGCTAATGAAATTGTAATACTTATCACTCGCCTTAAAATTATTATGAATTACGACACCTAAGATATGTAATACGACTGTTAGGAATAACCGGTTTTATACTCTTGTAGAAACCGTTCAGACATTCATTACAAGATCTCACACAGTATTTTTTTAAATGTATTGTAATTAATTATATATTGTAATTTATACTCATTTAAAAATTAAGTATGAGTATTTTGATTTTAATATAATATAAGATATTTTTGTAAGCATTAGTTTTATTTTGGCGCTTCATCTCAGTTTGTTTTGATTCCAAGTATTAGACTGGATGCGTAAATGTGTTTTCAGCGCAATGGAGCGTGTCTCGCTATGGCAACCCGGTATTGGTCATAGACGGATGGAGGTTCCGTAAGAATGGGAAAAAGTTCGCGGGGAAAACTTCCTGGCTGTGTATCAAGTCCGATGGTGGCTGTAAGTGCTATGCCGTCACCAGCAACAATGAAATAATTGCCATCGGTAATCAACATGACCACGACAATACAAGAAAACGCAAGCCCAAAAGAACCGTCAGAAACAAACGTAATTCTTATGTTAAACTAAAAAAAGAACTATACTATTAAACGTGTTGCTCTAGTCTCGAAATTATACAATGTATTTGGTTGAAAAGTACAGCGGTGCTAGTCGAACTAACTAAATTTGATAATGTTGTCAAAAGAACTTCGAAGGTCTCTAGTGACGTTTATATCGTAAATTTTTTACTGTATGGATTGCATTTACAATGTCGGTTCTCTTATTAGGAGCAATAATTAATTGAGTGGCATGTCTATTTTTATTAAATGACTTTTAATTTTACTTCGGCCTTCTCATTTAAATATATTTTCCGTCAAAACTTCCTCTCTGGTACTGTAGGTTACAGCTGGTTTGTTATTTAATTAATATTATTATTGGTAATTTTTAAATACACACACAGTAGGTAGTTGAGATAAGAACGCCAGCAGACATTAACAGTGCAGTGATTAGTTGCAGGCACTCCCGCCCCTGAGGCCCCGCCGACCTTGGGTTTGCCGTTTCCGTTTCCCTGCTTCCCGGGACAATTCCGCTACTGCTTGAGTAAGAGGGGCAAGCCTGCAATAGAGGTGGGAGCGCACCGCTTCTGTTTCAACGGTCGCGCGGCCAGCGGCAAGGTGTGGTGGCGGTGCTCGCGCAACCCGCGCTGCCGGGCCGCCGTGCACACGTTCGGCCTGCGCGTCGTGCAGATGAACAGCGCGCACACGTGCGGCGTGCGCGCCACGCCGCTCACGCCCATGTTCTAAGCGCAACTCATTCTTGATCTCGATGGCTAGATCTGATTAGTCAATTTGTCTGTCATCGAACCGACCACCGGCGAACAAAACGAGGTAGTAGGGAATGGCACAGATTTTGATCTCAACGTTAGGTACGAACGGAGAATGTGTGTAACAAGTAAATATTAATAAGTATTTGGTCAGGTGTTTGAATTATTGAATGTTGTAATGCTGGAGTTAATTAATGTTTAACACTATGTAGGTTATTTTAGGCCCACGTTCGGAGAGCCACCCGCAATCGTATTGCCAAGGAACAGTATATCCTCATCCACCTATATAGTGTTAAAGTGGACTTAAAATTATTAGCTATTGTTTCGATTGGAAAGTCAAATTGCTCTTGTGCCTTTCTGCCGGTGGTCTAGACTTGAACATTGAATACGCCTTTGTCGATTACATACATGTATACGCAATTGAGATTTGCAAACTATAGTTTGCACGTTTACTCTCTTATCTTATTCTCCAAAGAGATTATTATGATGTATTACTTATATTATATACTGTATTCAGTAGATACATTTAATTGGTAGATATTTTTGCGCTGTGTAAAGTATACGAATATATTTTAAGTTCTAGTGAAGACCGTCTGCGTTCAAATGATTTGAGACTGAATTTTTCACTTTCGGTTTGTGTAACTTCCTCGAAATATATGTGTAGTTTTGTAGTCATGACCAAGGTTTCACAATTTCTCTTAGAATAACCCCCAGATATGGCCTCGAGATGTCGAGCTGGTGTCGTGCGGCAGCTAGCGGAGGTGTCTCAGCCCGCTCTTCCGAACGCGGCGGTCTAGTTGTAGTGTACTGTACAAAGTGATAGTTCTCTTATGATATCCTAAGTATTTTTATACATTATTTTTACATTTATTTTTTTACAATTTTATTCGTGGATTTGTACATAAAATTACGATTGTTGGCATCGGAGCCCGTCTCCGAAGTGGTTGGTTTCGGTTTGAGTATTCGAATGTCGGGTTATGTTCTCAGAGGGCGCTTAGGTCATAGAAGGAATGTTACGGAGTCATGTCATGTATACGATTAGGAAAGTAATGTGTAACAACTTGTTAAAGTAGGAACTGCATTTATCGAACAATTGACTAAATAAATAATACTCATGTATACGTTGTAGTTGTAAGTTGGTTCTTTAGTGAGATCTAAATATTTTAACATTTATTTTATACAATTTTTATTTTACACT